CCAGTAAACCTCGCGAAGAGTACCAACTACCATCGTCGCAAGAATCTGATAAAATAAGTATAAGTTTTAACGTTAAGTATTAACAATGTTCAAATTTGCTCTGTACGTCTCCAAAATAAAATATTTTTTTTTTTGAAAAGTAACAATTCGTGTGCGGTGTTTTTATTACTAGCAGAATTTGGCAAAGAATTCTGCTTATGGCCATCGGCCGCTAGAGGGCGCAGCTATGGCTGTGAACGTTCCAATAAAACCGGAACGCTTTGCCAAAATGCGTTAGCCACTTTTTTATTCCCACCGATTAACCATTTTAAATGTTCCATATATTAACGTGACACGAATAAAAACCATCCGTGAAACGTCAGTGAACCGGCAGCGTTGCTGAGCGTGCTGTGTGGCTTATGCTAGTATATCATCTTAAAACGAAATGCCGCTACATATAAACACACGAAATAGACATGAAAGAACTTGAAGGTGATAGCTATTGACTATTGACCACTTCACACTACGGTGATTTCATCTGGCCGAGTTTCGCCGAGTTCGACTGTATTCTACAAAACATCGCCATATAGTATTGTAATGTACAACATTTGCCACAATGTTGGAAGCAAAGTGAAAACGATACCGTAAATGACGACCGTTTATTTGAACAGTTGGTTCGCAGATTAGCTCGGGTAAATCGAATACTTATATTAGACGAGGGGTGCATCTTCCATTTATACGTGGCAGATGGCAGGACCATATACATGTACTCGCGGTCGTATTTTAACGCACATTGCTGCCAAGAAACTACTAAAAATACACACGCGAGAAATTCATCGCGATTGCCAGCCGCAACAGTCGTCACATATTTAGACAAATCACAGTCCCTCAACAGTGGACAAATTTATGTGCATAATCTTGGTAGAAATGATATCATTTTTCAAAGCCTTGTCATTTAAACAACACGTGGTTTTTTTCCGTATGCATCACACATCACCGGGACAGGGAAACATCGATATATTTTCCATGATAAAATACCTCAATAACTTTAAATGCATCATGACGTTCAAAAATTTTCATTCACAATTAGCTCAGATTCCCTATGGTTTACTCGAGTATGGTATTTATGTTTACATCGGATGCTTACACGCCCGACATCATGTTTATTCTCATCACAAGTTGTATACAAAGATCGCAGAATGACAACATCAACGTTTAGATCCGGCATTAGCTTAGACCCGACTCAAAAATAAATCTCTCGCCCGCCAACAACCTCTTGGGACGATGTATGAATGTACCAACTATAATCCATCGTTTGAGGGCGCTGTTCAACGTAACCATTTCACAGCTTTTCCCCAACAGCCAACTTTCAATATATGTTATCTACAATCAAACCAAAATATATTTATGGTGTATGCGATTTTGTGTAGCTTGAGTAAACAGCTGTTAGAAATATGAAAAATACGGTCTTAAAGAATTAAAAACGTTATTCAGACACACAAGTTGCCTCCAAGAAATCCAAAATAGGGTCAGTCTAGTAACGGCAAAAACAACCTTTACAATCTCTTGAGGAACTCACTCACTCAAATATTTATAACGGTAAATGCATACATTGATGTTTTCATTAGAAAAGCTTGTAACATTTTGTATGATGTCATATAATGAAACAACTATACATGTAGTTGAATTGTGCTATGTTGTGCTTCACTCCTTTTGCACGCAGATTTAGGGGGAGGCGCGCCAGGATCCGCCAATGTTTTGTAACTATGTTTAAAGCGGGGGAGTAGTCACCTGCGCATGCGTCAGAAGGGCCATAGCGTGTCATTGTTTACAAACAAGCGTCTACCCATGAGCTTTTGCGGTTTTAGCGCGTGTTGTTATCGTCGCTTGGAACTCAATTTCCGCGCGTGCGCAGGTGACGACACTCCCGCTTTAATAAACAGGGTTATGCTATTGACGCATTATGCCACATTTTTCTTGATCAGTTATAAAAACAGTGAAAAATGTATGTGGAATACTCTAAGCATTGGGGTGTGTGCTTGAACATTAGTATTAGAGTAATTTCATCAAAACTGTGAACTGCTTTAATTTTGACCAAAAGAGTGTTTTCAAAGTCAGTTTTATTTTTGATAAATGTGTATTAACCAGAAATTACTTCTTAAACAATTGTGATTTCTTCCATCTATTGATATTGAAGCCTAGTCTAGTACTCCCAAGGATTGTATTGTAAATGATTCACAATTATCAGCACAGGCAATGAGTAAGATTCGCTTTGTGACCAGTGAAAAGTTTGACTGTGACCAAAAATGTCTTGAACTTGAACAACAATTTTCTGAATATTTTCACACTAGACTTCGAAAAAATTATATACAAGTTTGACATTATTTAGATTATATCTACTCATGTTATCAAACGCATAACAAATTATTAACATTGACATAAAACACCCTATAATCCATCAGTGTGACTTCTGTTTTTAAAAACTAATGTAGTATATAAAGAACTAGCTCCCAATTGGCTGCGACGTTACCCGCAAGTTGTATTAACGCGCACACGTATATTTAAAGGGTGGCGGTTATTGTGTCACGTCCTGTTCGATATTGGACTCGTATTGACGTACGCAGCGTGTATAAAATATTTTGTTTACATGAAATTCAAACACACACTGCCACCACTGCCATTTTCATAAAAGCAGTAAAACAACAGTTATTTTATTTTTGGGTGTGTCCAACTGGTTCCTGTCAACTAGTAACTTCACAAAATGTAAATACAACTGTAAGTGCAACTGCCGATACCTCAAACTTCATTAACATTGCAAGCAAGATAATAAACGAGCAGCTATGAGGATCTGTTGATCAATCCATACACATACATATTAAGACTAATAATAGAAGGCATTAAGTCAAAGCCATGCCAAGGACTTTGTGCTTGCCGTTACCGGATGCCTCTATTCACTAGCATTGCAAGTTGAGGTTACAACAATATAGACCAATTCATTAACAATTTAAATATTCATGGCGAGAAAAATTATAGCATCCAAAGGATTGATATGAGAAATTAAGAGATGACACTCAAATCAAACATACGAGTTTAATTAACTGAAGTATGGTATATAATTTAGAATAAGGTATGTAAATATGACATTACTTTTAAAAAAAACAAAAACAATTGCTGTAGTTGAGGACATAACACTGATTTACTTGCATGGAGAGTGGCAAACGTATAGTTGACTCAAATGTTGTCTCCTAAATTACAGTTCATTTCCATAATTAAGAATAGGAGAAAAAAGGGCAGAAAAATTTGGGTGAGAAAGTTAAAGATCACCCACATATACCCAAAGTGTTAAAATGTTTGAACAGAAATTGTAATAACCATGTAAATAATAATAATAATAATTCATAGTGATAATATTTATTCAGGAATTGGTAAGTTCAACTGGTTAAATTTTAACACCAATTTATTTTACATATTGTGAAAATAGGTTGTATGGAGCCAATTGCTTTCCACGGGTTCTATCGTAATCGTAAGCACTCAATTACTGATGACGTGCTAAACATTTTCGTAGCACTACGAGTGCAGAATCAAATTATTTGTTTGTTTGTGCCTGTAAATCACTGGTAGTCGTGGAATTCATTTATAAAATATTTGTGCATTGTTTTAAAGAGAGGAAGTTGTGGCACATGTAAATTACATTTTTTTTTGTTAACTACGCAACCACCACTGCCCTTTAAAATTTACTATAAATTACCAAAGTTACACAATTTCTGTATATTTACAATACCGGTACATGTATAGTAGGTTTCCCATAGAAATCTACTATTTATGATTATCTTGCCTGTGTATATAAGAATACTATGGTAATCTTTTATGATAACTTAAAAATTAATTAACAGCATTTTTGAAAAAAAATATCACAAAATAATGTATTCTATCATAACAATATATCCCATAAAAGATGAATATCCCATAGAACATGAAAATTCTATAGAATGTGAATATCCCATAGAACATGAATATTCTATAGAATGTGAATATCCCATAGAACATGAATATTCTATAGAATGTGAATATCCCATAGAACATGAATATTCTTTAGAATGTGAATATCTCATAGAACATGAATATTCTATAGAATGTGAATATCCCATAGAATGTGAATATCCTGTAGAACATAAATATTCCATAGAATATAAATGGTTCATACAATAAAATAGTGACTTTAGCAAACAGAGCAGAATCGTACAGTATCCTTTCCAGGAAGAAGTAACCTGTTATTTCTATCAAAATAGCAGCATTTTTATTTCATTAAGAGTAGGTTTGGAAGATGCTATTGAGAAACTAACCAAATCATGTTTCAAAATATACTCATAAGATGTATCGCTATTCACTGAACAATAAAATAGATAACCGTATATATTTTTGCTCAGTGTGAATATGGGCTGAAAAAAAGACACATATTAATGTTAAATACTTTCCAAAATTTAAAATTTATAATTTATTGAGTTTCTAGTGCAGTATTTTCCCATTTTATTCCATGAAAAGTTCTCTCTAACAATGCATTGTATGTATCCATGGTAACTGTAAAATTTTATTTTATCCAACTGTCTTAAAACACCCTTGTTAAATTGACACAAGTGAAAGATTAAAAAATATGCAAAATAAACTAATTAATGTGCATACATTTATAAACTAATCAGATCTGGCACTTGCTATCTAAATTTCACCTGTGGAGGCAGGTTAGGCCAAAAAAAAAAAAAAAAACAAACTTATGTTGCCCTGAAGTTGAAAAATTGGGTCAGTCGGTCGGATTTTTTTTTTCAAATTCGTTAAAACTAAGAGTATCGTAAATAGCCAAGGTATATGGACTTTATAGTATTCGGAACATGTCAGAGAAATACAGATCAACCCGAGTTTCAAAGTCGCCACTTACGGAGACTATGGGCATCAAACAACGGTCCAGGATCCTTAATTTTTAGAGGAAACACTTTTTTACTGCTTAAAATGGTGAGTTTTTAATATTTGGGCCTATTAAAAAAAAAAAAAAACGCGACCCGATATTTCATATTTTTCAGTCGCGGTTGCTGAGGGCAACAAAACAAATTATTTTTTTTTGGTCTTATGGAGATATCGGTCAAACAAAATTTTTACACATACATACACACAGACAAACACACACACAGAGTACAACACACAGTTCTGGTTGTGCTCTTGCAAATAAAAGCTAGCATTATAGATGTGATTCCTTCTTAAGCAACTAATAGCCAGAACATAAAAAGCAAGGCAACCCAAAGAAATACTCTAGATAAAAACTGTTCTTCCTCGTGTTCCTGGGTCCCAGCATTAGCTATAACACAAACAAAAAAATAAGGTCATTAAGATAGAAAGCCTACTCAAGAATGATTATAATTACAGTAATGACTTAAAGCACAAATGGTCAAGGGTAGATGTTTGTTTGTAAACAACAACACGCAATGGCCATCTGCCACATGTCTAAGTGCGTTTATATTTAAAAATTTAAATCATAATTTGTACTTTTTGAAAACTTGGCTTTAGAAATGAAACTCTCCTCAAAATAGCAATATTCGTATATATTTTTGATCAATTTTCCTGCTTTTATTATATATTTATCCTTCAATGATGAGATTCCCATTGCATGCTTGCTTCTGTGTTCAATGTAAACAATGAAAGGTGATCAAATGTAACATCAATAATTCAGAACAGGTTCACCAGTATTGTTTTCAAATCAGGGAAATATAATAGCAAACAGTTGCATACTAATTTAAACATACTTCCAAGCCTTTTGAGTAGGCTTGCCATACTCAACAAATTACATACACATACAGTATCAGTCTTACCTGGCCTGGGTCTTCCGTCATTGAGATTAAATGTGGATGCGAAAATTCCAAATGGAAAAGCACCAATACCAAAAGACATCTGAAAACCACCATCTCCAAATCCAAATCCTTGGAATGGCTGGAAAACATAGAAATGGAATAATTTATCAGTCATTATACCCACACATCATTTGGTCTGGAATACATAAAGGTGCTGACTGTTCCTTAGTTGTAAAAGTGTTGAGGAAATAAATGACGACACAACATAATATTCCTTTAATCGGGCATATGGTGAACGAAAATTTACATTCTGATCATTTTTCGAAAGTGGTAACATGGTTACAATGTTAAACAAAAAAATGTTCATCTTTTCTGAGGTGGTCCTTGGGTATACGCCCACTCCTTATTTTCCTTGATTTTATATGAGGCCCCTGGGTGTATGACCAAGAAAATATGGTAATAGAATCCAACATCATTATTTTGGCTCTGTGTTCTAGACTAAAAAATGTACGGTAATCATCAGAGGTCTATGCACTTATCCAAATGACCTGTTAAAAATTGTTTACTTGTGTACTAATAAATTAAGAGCCCCCAAAAAAATCTTCTCATATGGAGATGAACTTCTAAAGATAATACATAGCAAAGATAATACATAGATCCCAGAAGTCACAGCTCTTAAGCTTGTGGCCACCACAACATTTACCACACTTGTGACAATCACAACTATTTATCGTGCTTGTGTCGCTCATTTTGATCGCACAATAGGGCTCAGTCACGGTGATTGTATTGTTTTTTATTGGACCTATTTTTTAATAAAAATGATCTTGCAGACATACATGTAGACGTAGACAATTAAAGAAGTCAGATGGTGATGACCGTGTTTCACCAAAATCAATTTAGGTCACATTTATGAAATGAATATGTAATGCATAAGCCATAAATATGCGACACCAATGCAAAGGAATGCGCCACTCACCGTAGATTTAATTATATCTATGTATATGGGTTTTTTGGGGTTGATTCAGATCATGCTATCTTTTCTGTATTTATTAAATATTATTTTTCAAGGTTGGTTGAAAAAAAAAAACAGTTTCTAAACTTCTTCAAAACTGCACATTGAGATTGCTTGGATTTTGTAACAGTTTCAAAAGTTACACACATTTTTGTTTTATTGGTACAGGCATCAAATGCAGTATTGGTTTCATATGGATTTCAAAAGCTGATTAAATTAACTTACTCCATGTGTTTCTGGTTCTGGTCTTTGTCCTGCAGGTCTAGGCGGAAGTTTCTCTCTGTAAAAATACACGGCAGAATTACTCGCACTACTACCATTACCATTTCTACCCATAATACTAAGCTTACTAAGAGAATAAACTTTATACTAGAATCAATAAAATATTTAGTAGTCAAAACAATATGCTTGCCATAATATGTTTGTCTATACATGATTTGGAGACTATTTTAATTCATGTTTCAGAATACATTTGTTT